TGCATAGTACCTCCCAGGTATCAATGGTGAGAAGTGGCTGCAGATAAAATGATAGACGGAATATGTGAGGATAAAAACATCCATAATAGCCAACAAAGATTCATCTTCAGATTGTTAATTTAGGAACTTACAGAATAATCCCATAAGAGCGGATTTACTGCATTCGGAGTTTTTACTATTACAATCTTCTTGTCTTCCTCCTTTGGGAGCGGATTTACGGCATTTGCAACATCAAGTCTATTCGCCTTGTCTGTATCAATTGATCCTCATAAGTGTAAGTTGGAGATTGGCATATTGGAAAGGGAACAAAGTAAAAAACACTCACATGCAAGCCATGTCCAACCCGAACCAAACTGAGAGGCTGCAGCTGACTTGAACCTTTCTAAACAGTCTTCGAAAGACCCAAAATCTCTCTCGATCAGTCTGAGGAGCTCCCCAGCTGGCTTTCCCCCACCCTCAGGTTTGATAGACTCCCAGAAGAACTCATGGTTCCATGCCTGCAAAGCCCCCCATATACTATAATTCATATTCAATCCAGAGAGAGGAAGCCATCGCACATTAAGAATCTTGTTACAATGACCAGTGGACCAAATCAAAATAAGTTCGGGTTTACCCATGTATCCTGAATATTATTCCTGTTGGTCCAATCCTCAGTTTAAAACAAACTAAAATGCATTTGACCAAGTGATTTTTACAAACCTGTGAAAGAAACTGGAAAAGCAACATGTGGAATTACCTGTGCGGCGTTGTTGAATGCAGGAAGCATATTGCCTTTGTTGTATGAAAGAAGCACAACCTCTTCCAGTGACAATCCATCTAGATCTGTGCCTACGATCTGCTTGTTCAGGTTCTCTACGTAGGTTTTGTGATGCTTGCCCCAGTGATAATCCAGAGTCTCCCGGCTCATATGCGGCTCCAGAGCATCCTGCCATAGATCAACACACCCAAAGACAGACACAGAGTGAGTAACATCTCCCATATGCTTCAAAGCAGCAACACCACTTCTTTAATTCGTCAGTATGATTGACAATAACGTCCTATTTTCTTGTTCTACATTCAACTCTAAATAGAAAGTCATGTTTCATCACAGTTTCAGCATTAGACCAGCCGTCAACCTTCACAGCTTTATATCATTACCGTATTATTTATCATAGGATGTGCAAACACTGACCCAATGATCGACCAAATTTCAAACCAAGAAGCTGGAATGTTTCCAACTCCCAATATCGAATTTGAGAATACGTACAAGAGGATACGGAGGAGGCTTCAGTTCAAATCCGGCTGTGATAACACCGGAAACAGTCACCTTTCTCGAGAACCGTCTCTGCACGATAAAAAAGAGAAACCAAAGAATGTGTTTTGAGTTTTCCTTATTGAACTAGAGTGATAGCTAAAAACAAAAGAAGTTCAAGTTTCATTCAAGCATTTCATCAAACACTATCCATGCATAGTTCCTCGGTCCATGTTATCACTGATAATGGAGTTCCATATAGAATATATCAGATGATTATAACTTTAACAGGATAAAAAGAGAAGTCGCAAGACCAACCTTTTCGTTTCTTTTCCATTGCGTTAGACGATTGGACCCTGTAACTTGACGAACAAAACCCATGTAAACCAAGTGTTCATAGTA